TCGTGGGTTGCAGTACTGTGTCTATAATTCTAGACTTAACTAAAATGTAAGATAATTTATTTATTAAAAAATTGTAATAAAAGTTTGTGAAACTTATTTTTCCGTCTATCATAGTGAACATTAATATGCTCTGTATTTGAAATTCAATCTCATTTTTAAAAATTAGAGTTGAAATCAACAACTTTATTTCTTGTTCGACAGCATTTACTTCTTCTAATGTCGACTCAATAGTTTGTTTTTTAAAATCGAATTTTGATCGGATAATAATAATGAGTTGACGACGAACGAGGATTTTTCCATAAAACTATGGAAACATTGCTAGGATTGTCTATCTTTGTACATCTCAGCTGTAAAGGAACCAGTGAAAACATAAAAAACATCATTAAATGATATTTTTGTCATATTTAAAACATCAAAACGAAAACAGTCGTACCAATTTGCTGTAGGTTAGGTTAGGAATCTACGTCAAAATTATTTTATTTTTTTTAATTTGTACAGGTTTATCGTAAGTAGAATTAGTTTGAATATACAAGATGTCCATTGTTCCCAAAATGAATGCCGCCAATAGTATAATTTCGGCATAACATAACCATAACCGCCAACCGCCAATTAATTTATACTATTATATTATATGTATAAAAATATACCTACGTATTGTTTTACTTGCTTACTCTAATGAAACAAAAATACTTAATACCAAATAGAAATAATACATTTATATACATTTCCTATGTAGGTAATATATATGAATATTAAATAAATCAGGAAATTTTTAGATTATTATTATTATTATTATTATTATTTGTTTAGCAAATATTGGTATATTGACATATATATATTGTATATATTTTGATGAATAGTTCAAGTATTACTGCATTAGTATATTATAGTAAAATATAGTTTAGGACTATTCTCAATTATAATGCAGTAACTAGTATTATTTGTAATAGAAATAGTATAAATAATAAATACTCAAATTTAGACATTTTATCAAGATTTTTTTTTAACGAAGTAATTTATAATTTATGAACAATAATATTGGTAGATAATACATTCATTCAATTTGAGAAGCAGTAAATTGCCTTGTATACAATAAACTTTTGACTACATTTTTGCAACCAGTATCAAGTCGACGATTAATAATTTTACTGAAGTTGGAGGCAGTTAAAAGTTTCCTCCTAGTTTCAAACCACTTTATGTTTTTATAATGGTCAATAGCCTGTCGTTCAATTTCTTCGTGGTTTTTCACTAGACTTCTCATTTCATTTAGCACTTCTTTTTTTTGTCAGGAAAATTTTTTCTCATCAATATCCGGTTTGCTGGCGTCATTCCCGTATGAAATATATGTTCCATTTTTAAATAATTGTTTAGTTATTTCCGAAATCGTTTAGTTTTGAATCTTGATTAGTTTTGTCTTTCCTGTTTTATTTTCTCAAAATTTTCAGAGCATTCACATTACTTTTTTTATACTATGTTTTATGTAACGAATATATTGGGATTTATTGTTTTTACTTATGGTAACTAACATGCACCTTGTAGAATATGAATTTTTTAAAGCATAATTAATTCGTTTGCCTCCTATAAATTTCGGAATAATTGAATTAAATGACTCAACTATGTTACTTTCAACGTCCTGTAATAAGTTTGAGCAGTGTCTTGCTAAGCTCCTTAAAATCGTATTCATTGTCTCATAAAATTCATAATCCTGGAATATTATTTTCCTAATAGATACAATTCGCATCAATTCATTTTTTTTTATCACAAAAATAATCAGCACATGTGACATGATTACCAATGGCATGATGAATAGTATTCAAAATATCACTTCTTGAATCACCGACTGAATGCCCGTTCGATTTTCTATAACTAATTGCACAGACAATACCTTTTCCAAGGCCGTATTTAGGGAGGAGCTACAGAGTGCTGTTGCCTCGGGTGGCTGAATATGCGAGGGCGGCTAATTTTTTATATTTTCAATATTTTATGTTCTAATATTTTTGAAGTGAAACTTTACAAAATAGAAAGTATATCTCAAAAAAATATACATATATCGCCAATCACGGCGTCACGATATACACACATACTCGGTAATAGTCGAGTACTGTCGATATATCCAAAGATTTACAAACAATCTATCTTTGTGTTGACATTGCACTTAGAATGTTTTTGTGTACATCAGCAACGAATTGTTCTTCAGAAAGATCTTTTTCAACCGCAGAAATTTGTATTTGGTACAATGAAGCGTTTTTTATTGTTGCTCCCTGGTGTCAAATTCCTAAATACGGCCCTAACCTATTTATTATTACTTAGTAATTTTCTATGCTCTAATTTACCAGCTGATCTTTTTGTTGAAATATCCTTTAATTTATTACATAAGTTCCTAAGCAAGTGCTTTCTGCATTCAATTTTTTCCACCGTTAGATTTTTTGATCCACACTACTGTCATCGTCTGCTATTAGTTTATGATACCGTAACCCGTACATTTCTTCTTTTTTTTTAAATCCTTCAACTATTATGAAAACTTCTAATTCCCAATGAGCTACTAGTCACTGGACAATTTCTTGAGCATTTTCGAAGAGAAGGTTTATTGTTACATACACAAGTCGAACAGTATTTATTTTTAATCCCATCATACAATACTTTTTTAGTTCTGTAACCTATTATGACAGCCTAAAATAAAATTTTTTGTATATTGTATTATTTTGTCAAAAATTATATATAAATAGGTATACCTAGTATGTTACTATTATATACAACATTATTATGATTATGTGAAATCGGGGAAATGATAGGTATATAGATTTTTACCTACGAGTAAACTTATTAATTTATTAATTTATTTCAATATTAATCGAAACTATAAAAATATAATTTTTTTCTACATTAGAATAGTAATTAATAAGGCCCAGAACTTGATGCATTTGCATATTTTTATTTGATACTTGTATTCGAGGGCTCATTTTTATAGAAATTTGATTTGTTCCACACAGAATACAATGGTTATTTAGCATATTTTCAATTTTTTAGTAATTCTCCATTGTAACATCATTTTTTAGCAATTTTAATGCATTTAATATATTTTTTACTTTTGTTTTACATTATTTTTATAAAACTAAACATCAAAAAAAAAATAACATATTATGTAGTATAGTACATAAAATTTTAAAATCTGTCTCTAATTTAACTGGTGACAAAGTATATTTTTAACAACAGATAAAATTTTAACTGTAGTTAAACAAGTTTATCTTCGTGTAAATATTTGGTGCAATCGGGCATGAGCATTTTATTTAACATCAGTTATAGTATTAAACAATTTTAATTAATTTAAATCTATCTTATATTTTATAAACTAAATAATATTTTGGCCACAATGTATGCGTATATATATATATATATATATTACGTTGTCAGTGTTTTCACTATAAAACAACTCAAATATTAGCTATTATAATATAATGACATACAATATAATGTTGACATTTTATAATATACTCATATTATAGATATATTACCTATATTTAACAGCCCTAAATGCTTTGAAAATTGAAATGTCTGACAACATATATAATTTCGCCCTCCACGGCCAGTTTTTATATGAGCTTCGTGCATAATTTCGTAATCGTATTGTTCTTCGTTCTTTACATAATAAATAATTTCAGTTCCAACTACTTTTAAGGGGACGATTAGTTTATGATTATCTATAATATCCACAACGTCAAACTGATTTAATCGCCTGTAATCACTTCGTTGTTTATTTTTTTTTTTAGTTTAGCATTTATAAATTCAATTATATATTTATTATATTTTTCAATGCTTAAATAAAAACAATTATCTTCCCTCTTTTTTTAATAAAAGTGCATTAAGCTTTTCATAAAAAATCTTTCATATTTTTATCCATTATTAATTTGAATTCGAATATAATATTATAAACTGTTATTAAACTGTTGTGCTTGGTTTAGAATACGTGACAATACTGAGGAAGGTTTATATTATATAATCTAGCAAAGGATTGACTACCGGATTTTCTCATGCGATAACATTACTGATGTCCTAACGTCTTGAATGCATATTTTAACTGGACGATAACGTCAAATTTAATCAAAAATTTTATCGATCCTACAAAATAATACAAAAATACCTTTTATATACATCGTGTTTCAAGCGTGGACAACATTTACCAAACACTGATTGTAAATGTCAACAATCACCATTGTATGAATGCGTTAAGACCATTTTGTCAACATTTACTACGATTTTTGGTAAATGTGAACATACACCGATGACTGTAACAATAGTCTACTGCGGTCATACACCTTAACATACATATATATATAAAGTATTTTTTCCATGAAATCAATAGGAATATTTTCAGTTACTGGAGATACTAGACAGGAAAAGTGTTAAGTGACTTACACAAAATATTTAAAATTCACATATATTTAAATGTTTTAAATCAAGATAAGAATACAATTAAAAAGTAAATAATATTCAATATCATCCTGAAAAATATTGTTGAATATTTTTTTTTTTTTTTTAGTACCCCATCCTGTACTAAGTGATTTATTTTATTTAAAACCAATAATTTTAATGATTAAAAGATTTCAAATAAATTTTAATATAGTTTACAATAATATAATATAGTACATTTTCAATTTATTTTCTGATATTTGTTCATAACTCTTTATTATTTAATTGTTCAGATATTTTTAAAAACTTTATTTAAATTAGTTAAAATATTTATAAAAGATTATTAAAAATTAATATTTAAACATATTTTTTTCATATTAAAATTAAGATTAAAGCAAATACAAAATTTACACTAAATTTTGTTTATATATATATATATATATATATATATATATATAAAATAAAAAAATACATAAGTAAAAAACCAATAATTCAATATAAATATTCAATCACACAATTATCATTTATCAAAATCAATAATATAAAACATATTAAAAAAAAATCTTAATAAATCAAATAATTAGTTAGTCCTTTGAATATTAAAATTAAAGAAATGTTAATAATTTTGGTCTTCTCACTTTTAATCACCAAGTTTCTCATCCTTTTCATGAGTTGTTTTTTTCTTTTTATAGTGATGGCTTTTATGTTTTCTTTTTTTCAATTTACGCTTTATTCCGCTTTGATCAGTGCCTTCAGCTAGTTGAAAACTTTTATTTTCATTTAAATAGTTATAATGTTTTAAATTCTTATCCATATAGTCAGATACACTTTTAGACTTTGATGTTACCAATAGTGCGGAGGTTTCAGTTATAGAGTTGTCAGATATAGAGTTTTTATTTATAATAGTGCCAACAACATACTTTTTTACATCATCAACACTTCTTGAGTTAATTTCTCCGCTTACTGTATTATCAGGAGATATTTTACATCCTTCCAAACTTGTCTGCAAATTGAGTATTGTATTTTGTGTAACATCTGCACTTGTATCTAAATCTAGCAAAAAACCATCCAATTCTGGTAAAAATAAATAATAATAAAATTGAAAATTTAAATGCAAATTTTTTTTTAATATAAGTACAAAAGAATATAATATTTTCTAAGTTTATACCTCTCTGCGATTCTTTAAAATCTTTATTCAAATTTTTCTGTAAAGCAAGTTCACATTCGATTTTAGCTATATGTCCGCTTGTAATTTCTTTATTAAGTTCTACATTCTCTTCATGCAGTTTATGACATCTAGTTACCAAACTTTTCCCAATATTACTGTCAAAATAAAAATTGTATTTTATAAATTATTATCAAATCTAACAATATTATGTACTAACTCACCTATTTGGTGTAAAATTTGAGGCATTTAGTTCCTTTTGAGTTTCTTCTAATTTAGTTTTGGCAATTATTAATTCTTCTCTTAACTTTTTAATCAAAATATTTGTGGATGGATCTTGCAATGAATTTTTTAATGAGAGTTCTGAATTACTTTTAATAGAATCACGAATGGCTAAAATTTGCGCCTAATAAAAAAACTAAATTTTAGTTATTTATTTTAATATATAAATAAACATATACTTTGTATACAGAAATAAATAAATGCTTAACCTGGAGTATTATTATATTAGTAATATAACATAAGTAATATTACTCCAGGCTAAGCATTTATTTATTTATTTATTTATTTATATCTATAAACTGTTGGTTTATTTATTTGTATGTTAACTTAGAAGTATAAATCATATAAATTTTTTTTTAATTTTAATTAATTTTTTTATTATTAATAATTTTAAATTCAAGGTAATTTTTTTTTTTTTTTAAATATTATTAATATAAAATATTCTACAATTAATACACATATGGCACAATAGGAATAAATGAGTGACAGATAAGCGAACAATAGTATTAGTAATTAATCATGAACAATTACAAAGTAAGAATTAAATTTCAATATCATAATATACATTTTAAGCAAGTTAAATAATTATTGTTATGATAAAGTGAATTTATCGAATCCCAAAATGTATAATTTATTTTAACAGTCTACTTTTAGGTTAGTTAATAGTAAAATAAAATATATATATATCTGCTGTGATGTTCGATCAAATTTGTTTGAAATTTTTTTGTTTTATTTACATTAGTAGTTATGAATACACCAATAACTTAATAATCTCTTATATGTTTTAATAAACCATTATTTAATTTTTTTTGTTCAATTACATATTCATGTTAATATATTGTTAAATATTTTATTTAATATTAATAAATTCATTGAAAATATATAAAAGTTAATCGTGGGAAAAATAAATTATAAAATTAAAAATTGTATGCGATTGCCTTTGAAAATTATATAAAATACAATAAACTTCTTATTAAGTGATTAATGAATGTTGGTAAAAATTATAATAATATAACAACATGAATGTCAAATTATATGATAAATACTTTTCAAACTATTGAAATACGAACCAAGGAAAATATCAATATCAATATTAAAATTTTAAACCTTAATAAATGATGAATACAAAATTAAAATACAAAAATTATCTCAAATTTAACTTATCAATAAATAAAAAAAATAATAAATTTTTTTATTTATTTCAATTATTTGAAATAAACTATCATATTTATATAGATTGTTATTATTTTTTTTTGTAAAATATGCAAAATATAAATGAAAGGTGTAATTACCAGATATCATTACTTTTATAGAAATTCATGTTTATAAATTTTTTGATAATATAAAATATTATATACATTTAGGTCAAATTTTTACTATACAAGTTAATAACATAGAAATAGAGGTTTTTGGTATTTATAATTTAGTGCAATAATAAGGTATCCCTGGAGACTTTAAGCGCAATACATTTTTAAAATTAAGAAAAAGTTCTACTTTTTTATATGTTTTTTATTTTTGATATAACTATTGTACATAGATAAAATATTTGAAGATTTGTATAGTTTTCAATAGTTATTTTTACATTTTCAACATTAAATGTTGGAAAAAAATTATTTTTTCATTTTGGCAAAATAAACAGGTACCTCCATATTTTTTTTTTTTATAAAACAAATTCAAATCATGAGATGATTAAAAAGTTAAAAATATATGTGAAGAATTGAAATATATATTTTAACTATTTATGCCTCATAAGAAAGTTCATACTTCAGTATTTCATATAAAAAAATATTAAAATATGGAGTTACTCAATAATCACACCTCAATAATTTCTATTAAACATTAAACATTTTGAAATAATAGAACTAAAAATATAATTAAAAATAGTTTGTATTTTAGTTAAAGAATTATAGTTATATGTGTTTAAATACTTACAGCATATTTTTTTGATTCTTTTTTTTTAGCAGCTAGTTTCATTTGTAAATATTTCTCTCTCGCCTTAAATTTTTTAATTTGTCTTTTTTCACGTTCATTGTCACAAATCAAGTTACAGTTATTACATATTTTTACTGAAAAAATTGTACATTTTAAAATAATCAAATCTGATAACGATTAACTATAAGCTTCAAATCTCTACACTATTTATGACAAACCAACATATTTTAAGAACTTACGAGAGTAATATCAACACCCAAAAAAAAGCATAAGTTTCAATCTACCATTCACTGGTAGTGAATACCCACAGAAAGTGCTGTATTTCCCAGTAAACACTTTAAGCTAGTGCTTAGGGCAGCAATTTCTCAAGTACAACAAATAACTTTTTATATTACATTTTTATTATATGTATCTAAAACTATAATAAATGCAACTAATTATAAAATGTTTTATTATATTACAGCCGATGGATACTAACTATTTAATTTTGAATATAATATAAAAATGAACTGTTTAAGCATTTTTTACTACTATGTTTTTTATCATGATATTTTATATCTTATGTTAATAATAAATTTTTTCATATGAATGTATGGATACATTTTTATAACAGCTGTATATTTTTATTTTACATCATTAAAATTTTAAGTAATAAAGGAAATAATTATAATCACATGCTTGAATAACTTTCAATAGACTAGAAAAAAATAATAAAAGGCGACAATTTGTTTAGTACTTAAAGCGGCATAATGATTAAATCTGGCATTTCCCACAGAGTCAAAAGAAAAATACTCAATTGTAGTCTTAGCATTAAAATAATTGTAAGTAAGCATATTTGTAAGCATTTCGCAAATCGCAATAAGAAAATAGTACCTTTGTTCGCCTTTGCTTCTAAAAAACGAATGCGCGCTACGGCGTCTTTATATAATTTGATAAGATGCTGTCGTGGAAATTGTACCAAGTTCTCTTCGTCAATGACGTCTATTCGCGCAGAACCTGATCGATGTTGGTCGTCCATCTTTTCAAAACCACGCGCAATATTACTATAATATAATTAATATAATATTTCAATCGGTAATCGGAGAAACGCTCGAAGCGAAAAGAGTAGATTTCGATCAAACTACGACTTCCGTCAACAAACGGACGCACGTTAGAACTTGACGAACTGAAGATTCGTTAACAAGATAAACCGTACAAATGGAGTGCACACACGGTAACCGTTACGATAAATACTATAAACTATTACTTGGTCGAATCCGAATTGAGGTTCTTCTGCCCTCGTGGTCGGGGTGTACCGGTTTGGTCGGTCCGCGGTACCGGAGGAGGAAGAACGGAAACCACCAGCGTTGAGTCTGGGACGTGCTGGACACTGCACACGGATGGTGTTTACTGTTTGCGGTATTCGTAAGTACGTTTAGATTTCTCGTTTCGCGGAGTACTACTGAACCACGATGAAACGCGACCGAGCAAACAACGAGGTTACGTCGAACAAGCCACGAGCAGTTATCAAAAATGCAATCGATTATCACAGTGTCGCGTTGCGCGTGCCTACAAGTGTACCACACGACTAACTCGTCCGCGCGACAACAGTTCACCGAGTTCCCGCGTCGGTTTGCCATCTGTTCCCGCCAAGCCCGCCATCGACGTTACGTTATCACGTTCGCTTCTCGCGAACACGACGGCAACCACGAAATCGTATTTATTTCGCTTGCCTCCGTTACGCTTATCGATTCGTGTTTCGTAATGTCGCTTCTGACTCGCATCAAACACCAAATTCAAAACTATGCACTGCTGATCAGTGCCGGATCTGCGATGGGGCGGGAGGTGGATATGCTTACCCCCCAGTCGCTGTTGGAATAAGGGCTCTTTTGAGTTTATGAAAAATATAAAAAGTTATAAACATAGCCCGTACTACGTACGGGCAGGTACTGCGTTTCTATTACAGCCTCGGGTGTCAGATTTCCTGAATCCGGTACTGCTGTGCTGAGAACCCTTAGATCTGTTCAGATCAACAAACATATTTAACGTTTACGATAGTGGCGTAGGCATACGAACTTTTTTATTGTACTCCTACATTATTTTCTAAAAATTGAATGTGGCGATAACGTGTTTTTTTTACCGTTTTCGCTATCGGTAGTCATTTTTTATTTAGCTACAAATTGTAGAAGTAGAAATTGTACAAGTAAAAAATGAACTTTTAAATTTGACTTCTACGGCTTTTGTTCGTTGTTTAGTTTTATATCGACTTCCGCGCATAGGCGCAGCCTTTTAGCACATTTTCATCTCAATAATCACCACCGACCGAAACGACATAAGCGTGCGCAGGGGGTATGCAGGGTATGCAACTGTATACTCTAAACATGGAGCCTTCTTTCTAAAATTACAAAAAATAAATTAAAATTATGACATCTTATGTATATTATGTGATTTTTAACATATTTTTATATTTAGTCCCAGAGAGTTTAGTTTTGAAATACAAATCATATGCTATAATAACGATTTAATGTGTTAATTAAATTAAGAAGTACAATAATTCAAGCGAGATTAAATAGCTATCAACTACAGAACAAGAAATGGCTTTAAATTAAAATCCCGAAAACATTATTGGTGATATTATTAACTCAACTGTACGCAGAATCGTTTTATGATTAATTTTGATTATTTATCAAATTTATTTTGTTTTTCATTGAAGTATATAATTACGTTTTTATTTATTTACTCTATTTAAACGTATTTCTCAAACCATTTCAAGTGTTATGTATTTAATTTTATTTTTTTTCATAATTTATTTTAAATTTTAATTATGAAGACAGTTATAACGATTGAGATATTGCTATTCAGTCACTTTTTTCGGGAAAAAAAATTTTAAATCAAATAGTTATTAAGACCAGCATTTCGAACAATTAAATTAACTTTCAGTTTTTTTTTTTAGACAGTAGCAGCCTTTTGCATACCCTGAAAAAGAGGTCTGTGCACGCCTATGGGGACCGACGTATCATTCTAGTACTGATGCATATGCATAGGCGTAATTAGGGAAGCGAAATAGGGTTTTTAGCACCCCTGAGTTTAAATGTAGCACTCATGTTTTTTTTTCTGATCTATATAATCTATAGTAATTACAGTTAAATACCATTTTATTTTATTTTCAGTAATTTCAGCACCCCAATATTTGGGCTCTAGTTATGCCCGTGCGCATATGTACACAAGGGCGCCCATATGGGGGGAAGAGAGGAACATGTACCCCCTGGAAAATATCAACAATTTTGGAAAATTGTTCACTATGATCAGAAAATATTTACTTAAATAGAATTTAAAAATGTAATTAAATATATGAAAATCTATAATTTGTTAATGAAAAATCTATTTATTTAGTTTGGAAAATCAGGTTATCAGCTATAAATAACAATACCCTTTCTCGTTTCTATTCAATGGATAATTATCAATTCTTAAAATATTGTGTAGTTTCAGAAATACGGTATGTATATGTGTGTTGTGTATACACGACCATAATATTTATATAATATTTGTAAATTGATATTTTAATAAATATAACTAACGTTTTAAGTGTCCAATTTATATTATTAATTAAATACAAATTTCAATAAAATACTTTTATGGTAAATTGGTTAAATGATTATTATTTTATAGTCTTCCAGTTTGATAAATATAATGTAAAAGTATAATGCAAAATTGTAAGCCCCTTCCTATATTGTGGGTCATTCCTATTTATGAATAGATTGATAAATTAAAATTTTGTCCCTCAGTTGAAAATTTTCCTTTGGGTGCCCTTGTATGTGCAAGATTCGAAATCCATTGTTCATATCCAGTAAATGATACGAGTAGCGGTATGAATGTGACATGTTACGTCAACCGTGCAAAAGGTGAAGGTGCAACACATACGCTCATGGAACGTAGAACGTAGGACGGTCGATGCAGTGGAGAAATCGGTTGGGCGTGACCGGTTCGCCGCCGACAGAAACTGGGGCTCTATTCTTGAACGTAGTGGAATATTGTTCGTGAATACGAATCGTTCAATCGTCAACCATTCTACTACCGTCGTAAAATCGTATCTACCGAACGCTGACAGAACCGCGGTCAGTAGAACGGTTCGTGCGCGAACGTTGTTTTCTATTATACGAGCGACAACATCGCAATGTCGTCGTTCCATTGATTTGCGCGCGTATTCGGACCACGCTCGATATGCAGTTAAATAGGAATGAGAAATCTTTACGATTCATGGAACACAGAATTTACAGAAAAAAAGCATATTTAGCTAGGGAGCTAGGAAATATTCAATACGTTAAAGAATATTTTATAAACATTTTGAGTTTTACTTTTGTAAATATTTTTTTCGAAGAAAATAATTTATCATTATATTATCTTAATTACCTTAATTTATCTGCACATTTATGCTCGTATTACGTACTTCAGCATTTTGATAATAATGATCAACAAATACAATATAAATAATGTGAGTTGTTCTTATATTCTTCTAGATTGTTATAAAAATTAACCACTAGATATTAGGGGTAATCCACGAATGGTTAAAATTGGCATTAAAACCATTTTTTTTTTTTTTTAAAGTTATTGTATATCAAATTAATAATAAAATTTAATAAATGATAAATAAATCAAGTAATTACAAATACATTTTTTTTTTATAGTTGAAAGTTTGTATTTTTAAGGACAAAAAACATAAATTTGGTATTTTTAAAGAATATTTAGAGAATTTATTACGTTTTATAAACAACATATAAACATCATATTTTAAGAATTTAAAGTGCGATTCCTTAGAGTGCGTCTATAGACGCGCGACCGATGCGGCTGACGCAGCATAACTCTAATTTTAACTGCTTTTTCTATCTTTAAGGGGGCTGGAGCGTAGCATAGTTAACAATAGGTACTTAGATTAATAATTATTTTTATACTTTCATACATTCAAAATAACTTTTTTGGGAGAGAAATTTAATAAATATTAAATAAATATAATTCAGCCATTGTATAATTATACTATTTTTCAATAATAACTAATTAATATAATACTTGTTAACAAAACGGATAATGATTTAGGTACATGTATTACTAGGATATTATTTAAATAAACAGTTAAAATACAAATTTCTTATTACTATTAAGTATAGGCAAAAGCCTTTTTTATAATAATAATAATAATAATAATAGGAAAATAATTTTTAAGTAAAAATGAGTTTCATTTAATATCTAAAATGATGAATGTAGTTTTTTTTTTGCGTTTTTTACTTATAAATTAATCTTGGCTATCTCCCAATATGTGGTCTACCAAAATGGATGTGGTCTACCATAATAATATTAAAAGTATAAATAAAAAAAAATTAAATTTATTAAGGATCCACAAAGCATAATTTCATATCTCTAAGGAAAGCATCAAAAATATTATCAGTTTTATTTAATTCTCAACACCAATACTCTACTAAGTACCTCTCTAAGAGGTCTTCATTAGTACCTCACATTTTTTTTAACGATTTTGAGTAAATAATAGTTAATAATAGTAATAGTTAATAGTAAAAGTAAATAATAATGACTGGAGATTCCCAGCTATAAGTAGAACACATAACATTGGTAGACCGCATACTATATTCATATTTATATTTACGTAGCATACAAAACGAGGTAGAGTGAATGGTAGAAAATGAGGTAAACCGCATATTGAGAGATAGCCTTAATTTTATTACTTTTTTTTTTTTTTTTTTGTATTTGATTTTCAATTAATCTAATAGTTTTATACACAGCTTAGGTATTATAGGCACAAATTAATTGAATTTATTTTTGATAAATTCAACAAAGTTATATCTAAGAACGATGGAAAAATATCAATGGGCCCAATATACCTGTGAGGGCTCGCAATCATACCAACCCAGGAGGCGTTTGCCCTCTGGCCCTTCGACCCAGTCCACCCCTGAATTACTTGAAAAATATTATAATTTCGTTTGTGCATAATGTGCAGAAATATATGATTAAATTGAACAATAAATTAACTCATTTATCAAAAAAATGTCACTTATCACACTTGTGCGTTACGCCATCGAAATATGCAATAGATCAAAGTCTTTGTTGTAAACTTATGTTATTAAAATCTGATGGGTTAAAATGTAAGCCGCATACACGCCTGTTATATTTTTAATTAGTTAAAAGCAAATCAGCCAATTTAATATTCCTTATAAGAATAAAAAAAACAATTAATATTAGTATCTAATTTCATAAACAATATTTTAAAAAAAATAAATTGATAAAATACATATAAACATTTAAAAAAAAAAAACACTATTAATTTTTTATCCTGATTTACGGTCGTCTCTATTCGGCATTCGTTATCTAAAATCTAAATTTCGAAATAAACAATAACACGTACCTATTTTATTAAAAATATTTTAAAAATGACCGATTGACTTTACACTACATTTTGAGACATCGTTATAGTAAATAAATTGGTTTCCATATCGCCTATACC